GATACAGAAGACGGATGAGAGCACACCCTTTGGCATTGTAGAATAATCTGAGAATAACAGGAGTGTGACTTCTTTTCCACACTGGCAGTGAGTTAAAAATGTGTGATGACGTTCAGAGGACGGATCGGAAAACAGTCCAGTGTAAAAATACTGTCTGGGTGAGTGCGTGTGCGTGTGTAGGGGTCATGAGTGTCGTGGGCCAGTGAACACCCACAGCAGCAGTAGTTGGAGCCCCAGCAAGGGCCAGAGGGAGGGGCTTAGAAAAGTCCCACCTCCACAGTCAGAATCATCCTCCTGTAGGAGACAACAACCGTTAATAAGCTGTGAATAAAACAAATAGAACTCAGACTAGACTTGCAAAACAATGGATAACACATATGTACACAAGGCTGCATTCAGGGAGAAAAACTATGAACACTCAGTACTGTAAACCCCTTTAGACTATCTGCTAAATTACTTTGCTGCAAATGTAAAAGAAGGCTGCAACATTAGAGGACATTTAGAGAGTGTGTGTGGGTGTGTGTGTATAAGCACGGTATCCTGCTGTTTGATGCCAGTGTTCAGGATATCCGTGCGTACCTATGGCCTTGGTGTGTGTGTCCTACAACACTGCACGCCGTCAACAGCAGGAAACCCATCTGTACTTCCTATATTTACTCCATAGGGAATATGGACTGCAGAGGAACTTCCATAGTTCAGTTAGGGGGAGATGGCTTTGTTCTACTTTCACTCTTCATAAAGTTCCTACATCCGCTGGACAATACCTGTACCTTCAATTCCCAGACCACCCTAAACATCGCTACCGGCTCAACTGTGTGAAAGATTAATAACGGGCAGGACAAAGAAAATAAACAACGTGGCTTGTTTAATATTTACATGAGTGATGTTAATATTGTTTAGAATTCAAGATGATGTCATGTTCAAATGTACTTTTCACATCGGTGTACTATTCACCCTGTATTGGATCACCTAATACAGCGTTTGTTTGGGAAACTTCCATGTTTATTTCATTTGGTGCCCGGTAACGCTTTTTAGCACATACCATAAACTTCAAAAGTACAGGCAATTCAGGCACCTTCGACTTAAATAGACACTTGGTTAATGAGAAATGGAAATTTGGAGTCATTTCCTCATTTTCAATAACTTCCTCGTTTACGAATGACCTGCTTTGGGTTATGTCTGCACTCTCTCCAATAGCTAGCTCTCTTTGTCAATCATGGTAACACTAGGGACCTCATGCCGGACTTTGAGGTTGAAGTAGAAAACTTTCTTCAGAGACATAGGCCCAACAGACATTCTTCTATAATAATTTGTATTCTTAAAGAGCACAGTAAAAAAAGTCTATAATATCAAAAGGTATTTATAATTTTTACTGTTTTATGTCTGCATTCTGATAAAATGTTTTCCTTGTGATTAGAATGAGTAGAATAAAATTGCTTAAACTTTTTTTTATTAATATGTAAAAAAAAAGAATAATAGCGCAAAAAAAAACTTAACCAGAAGAAGTATTTCCCTTCTTAAGAGAAGTGGGGGCTACTACGTACTGGTTGACAACCAAAAGCTAGTTACTGTGTATGTTATACCTGAACTTTATTCAAACTCCATGTTCGACAAATAAATACCACCCATCAGTTTGTATAACTATGGGTAAGCAGGAAATTGCTTAAAATCTCAAATTCTGTCACGACTCCTAGTCCAAGTAGAACATCTAGTGGGCTATAGGAGGGGTGGAGAACATCTTGTTATTTACCACTGGGTTTGTCACGCAGCTAAAATGTGTCAAGTTTAATAAGAGTGTCACAGCTGTTTGGGTTTTGGGTGATTATGTTTTATGCAACAGTCAATGGGTCTTGTGGCACGATGTGGATTATTGAATGTGTTTCTGCCTCACCTCACTATATGTAGTATTTAGGTGAGTGTTGTTCTTGTAGAAGATTGTTTCCGTTGTTTGCAATTTAATTTATAACCAGTACCGTAATTTCCGGACTATAAGCCGGAATTTTTTTCCCACGCTTTGAACCTTGCGGCTTAAACAACGACGCGGCTAATATATGGATTTCTCCCGCTTTCACATTTAAATAAAAAACATTCTGTGACGTTGTTAAATATCATTTGTTGATAGCGCAATTACCGTTAAGGTAATTGAGTTGGTTCCTCTATTCTCAGTATTACGGTACTACGTTTATGTTAGGTATTATGTTCAGTGTAAAGGAGGAAACAGGAAGAAAGACGACATGCTAGCTTGTGGGTTTCTTAAAGTCGTGTTATGCGCTTCCTTCAGAAAGCAATGAATGTAAGAGCTCTGTTTATATATTTTCGTTATGTTCTAGTCACATTATGCCTATTTCTAGGTTTGTACAAAAAACAAATTGTTTGAAGTATTGTAGCTATGCAGATAACGGTAGTTGCACGCTTGCTTGTTGTAAATAGTAATTCATTAAGTCCATTGTGTATTCTCTTTTTTAGTTTCACTCCGCGCTCAATAGTCCGGAAATTACAGTACATGTTCTCGCTGTTCTCGGTTTGTTTGAAGTTATTTAAAAGAAATCGGTTTGTGAACGGATTAACACGCTCTGCGCCTGGCTTCCTCTGCACTACACCTCCATTACGTGACAAATCCCAAAGTATGCCACACAATCCCATCATTTTGGGTACCAAAAGTATTTGGTAGCAAAATAATTTGGTTCCCAGCAACTACGTAACATTTTGTAGTAATGTATAGTACTGACTGTGTGAAGTCTGTAAACCATAGACATTACCATATGCCAACCAGTGCTGGGTATTTTTACTTTTGTTTTGTCTTCAGCATATTCGGCACCTTGACCAGTACATAATGTGTCATTGTCCATCTGCATGGTACATCTTTATCCAATACGTACTTGAGGTATTGGGTTTTCTAAGCATACGAAGTGCTACTGTATAATTTAGAATTCATCCATCAATGAATTATGTTTCAGCCATGCATGTCAGAAACATAACTCCACCCTCATCATTTCTCACAGATGAGATGGTATGTCTATCCCTTACTTTCCTCATGCCAATACTCTGCTACATGATCATATTTGGTTCTATTAATATTGGTAATATATGTCAACAATATTAGTGTTCCTGATCTGTTGGTCAGTAGTTGTGGTGTATTCTTCATTTTAGTTTCTGTCACTCAGAGTTAAAGAGTACCTATGATAAAAATTACTTATTCCTACATGCTTTGCAAGTGGGGAAAACCTGCAAAATCGCCAGTGTATCAAATACTTGTTCTCTACAATGTGTGTGTGTATATATATATATATATATATATATATATATATATATATATATATATATATCACTGTCCAAATACGTTTTGTGTACAATTTAGAAACTAGTGGATGTGCCAGAGTCCTGATAATTAGCAGATCTACTGAGTAGTTTATGTGTGTAACCGGACTGTCAAGAGTGCAAAAGAAACAGATCTTAATTCAGTTTGTATGGATAGCAACTGACCCTGGGCCCAGCATCAAAACCTGCATCAACAGAAGGAGGGAGGTAGGACTCAGACCAGAGACACCGCTGATTGGACACAGGGGCTCATCCTACCACCACAGACATGCACGGCAGCCAATGCAGATGCAAAATGAAAGATGCAAGGACAAGGAAAAATTATGTAAAAGAAGGATGAAAATGAGAATGCTTAAACAGTCAAATCAGTCATCTAAATATATCTCTGAGAATAATAATTAACATTGATCTAAAAAAATTAAAATAAATACAAACCAATCAGGCAACACATAATATCCATAGCAGCAGCTAGAATAGGAAGACCCATTGAAATACAGGTATCTGTTAAACTCACGTCTACGTTGTTGTCGAAACACAAGTCCGGTCCTTTCCGGTATCTTGGGTTTTGAGCAAGTTCACAGGGATCTGGACCATGTGCTGTACAAACACACTAAGAAAATGGTAACACAAAAACTCACTTGCAACCCACAACTCGAAAATACATACACCACACACAATAGTCTTCTAGACAAACACATTAGTCAAACCTTATAAAGAACTGATCTTTGACACACACACACTTACACACTCAGACTACACTACTTTAACACTCTTCCTTACACACTCAGACTACACTCCTTAACACTCTTCCTTACACACTCAGACTACACTACTTCAACACTCTTCCTTACACACTCAGACTACACTCCTTAACACTCTTCCTTACACACTCAGACTACACTACTTTAACACTCTTCCTTACACACTCAGACTACAGTCCTTAACACTCTTCCTTACACACTCAGACTACACTCCTTAACACTCTTCCTTACACACTCAGACTACACTACTTTAACACTATTCCTTACACACTCAGACTACACTCCTTAACACCCTTCATTAACTCAGTCTACACTCCTTAACACTCTTCCTTACACACTCAGACTACACTCCTTAACACTCTTCGTTAACTCAGTCTACACTCCTTAACACTCTTCCTTACACACTCAGACTACACTCCTTAACACTCTTCGTTAACTCAGACTAAACTCCTTAACACTCTGCGTTAACTCAGACATCACTCCTTAACACACTACCTTACAAACTCAGACATCACTCCTAGTGTATCAGATTATAACCTTTAACACTCTCCAGATGTCAATGACCCAACGTGACACTGTGATTAGATGTTGCTCCAGATCAATGGTCTGCAACTGTGAAAGTGTGTATTGCATTGCATGTTTTACAGCCACTTGCTTTGTGTGTAAGTCATCATTAGCAGCAAATTGAGTTTTAATAAATGACAGGCATCTGTTTTGACCGATCTCTGACCTTTGATGATGTATATTTAAACTGTTACACCAGTAGAAAGCTAAAGCCCCAGACACATGTCTCCTGTAGAAACAACCACCCAGACGCTCAGACTGCAGGCAATTCCAACACATATGTTCCATTCAGATATACAGCTCAAAATGATTTAACACCGCGGATACAACATGACGTTCATGTGCCGTTGGACCTGGGGAGCAGGCTGGGATTTGAAACCAGGACGTCATACACATAGTGCACGCACTCTACCACTGAGCTACCAACTGTTCCAAACAATACAACAACTATGGCAGTACTGCCGACATTCTCTTGCAGTTTCACAAATGCAGTTGTTTGAATGTGTGTGATCGTGTGTCTCTGTGTAAAAGGATACAGGGTTGTTCGGCCTGTCGTAGTGGTCTGGGGTCACAGGACAGACAGGTGGACTTGGCATCAGTGATCAGAAACACCAGATTCGTGTTGGCCAGCTTCTCAGCTCGGTACATTCTGGAACACACACACACACACACACACACACACACACACACAGGGTCTTGGTACGTTAGGCAGTAATATACACACTATAAATGCCATAAGTCAGATGACAGTAAACCATTAATGTGGAGCACTTCACCCACCCACAACATCACACATGTTGTCTACAGGGGTGATATCAATGCAGTTCAGATGAGTACTCAACTAAATAAAGTTTACAAAGGAACGCTCTTTAGCACATCAGTTGCTTGGGGCAGCTTTAAGCTCCACCCAAACCCACCATCCATAGGTGACATGAAACACACTCTCTGATGCAATCTGCTCTGCCCCTCCCCCAGCATGCCTGAAGATCTAGTTAACCAGGTCAACACTACTATAACTGTCTCCCTCAAACTCATGGCCAAACTCCAAATATATATTTTTTCCTTTCCCATATTTCCTCATCACCCTGGTTTACATCTAATCTCCTGGCCATGAAGCAGGTGGGCCGCCATCTTGAACGTTGGACTAGGCCATGTTTAACGGTACATGCTGAAGCCTACAAGCAACACGTCTCCATGTATAGAGATGCCCTCCATCTTGTCAGGACCTCTAATCTCCAACACCATCACATCCTCCAACTCAAACTCTCTGACTCTTTTCTCCACAGTCAACACACTTCTTCAAACCCTCAGTGAGACCTCCACATCCGCTTCTCTACTCTTTTGTTAAGTTTTTCAAGGACAAGATCACAGACATGAATTTCTCTTTTGCTAATCCTCCTCTATCAGCCCCTTCTTCCTCGCTTAACTACTTTTCCTCTCCACCCCCTGTTCTACAAACCCACCTGCATACTTTTGCCCCGGTAAACTCAGCTTTTATCTACCAAATAATTGTTAAATCAAAAATAACTACCTGCACCCTGGATTCCCTTCCTGTGACTCTCATCATGGCTTGCCTTCCAGCCCTCTGTTCATACATCACTCATATAGTCAATATCTCTCACATAGCACTGTCCCTTCAAACTATAGAACTGCTGCAGTCACATCCATCCTTAAGATACCTGGTCTAGACCCCACCAATTGTCATAACTTCCGCCACATCTTAAACCGCCCCTTCTTTGCAAAAACCCTCAAAAGGACTGTTGCCTACCAACTGCAATGCCACCTACTCAACAACAGTTTATTTGAACCTCTTCAAATAAATCTCAACAACCAAACCCACTTTATCTACCTCAATGGCCACAATTCTGATTCCCCCCAGGGCTCTGTTCTTGGCCCCTTTCTCTTCATCAGCTACATCCTCCCCCGTGGTCAGATCCTTCTTTACTTCAAACTCGAGTCCACTGCTACGCAGACGACACTCAAATATATCTCTGCAGGAGATCTCTCACCAACCCATATTTGGTCCATACTGAATCCTGCCTTTCAAATATAAAAACGTGGATGCAGCAATATTTCCTTAAGATAAAACGGAACCACAACTTGTTGGCAGTAAATCCTCCCTCAACAAAACTCTCTCACACTTTCACCATCGATGACACCGTTATCTCTCTTTCTCCCCACGCACGCAACTTTGGCGTCACCTTGGACTCCTCCCTCAGCTTTGAACAACACATAAAACAACAGTGAAATCCTCATTCTTTCACCTCTGCAATATAACCAAGCTAAAGGCTTTCCTCCCCGTACAGCAACCCAGAAACCTTAATACATGCACTCATCACCTCCTGCCTTGACAATTACAACTCTCTTCTTTCTGACGTCAATTCTTAATCTCTCCATTAGCTACAAATAGTCCAAAACTCAGCAGCCGGACTCCTTACCCACACCAAGTCCTGGTAGCATATCACCACTATCCTTCAGGAACTTCACTAGCTCCTTGTCCCTCAGCACATTCACTCTTCGACTTCTGGCCATCTCATCTACCCCCGGTCCAAGTTATGGAGCTTTGGAGACAGGTCTTTCTCCAATGCACTGGAACCCACTTCTGCAATGAATCTGTAACTCTGACTCTATTACCATTTTCTTCAACCGCATCAAGCCTCATCTGTTCAAACAAGCCTACCCCTAGCCCCCCCCCTCCTTTTTGTCCAATCACTCCCTTCGAATGGTGTTTGTTCTGTAGCAAATGTAAAACGTCTCTAGGTCCCAGAAAAGCGCTATATAAGTTCAATGTATTATTATAAGTGTTCTAAAGCAGCCACAAAGTTCTTAGTAACATAACAATCTATCTTTATCTATCTACTGACAGATCAAGGTAATGTGTGTAATTTAGCAACAACAGCTGTCGGGAAAGAGCTGGAAACGACAAGGGAATGTAGGAAACTGACGCCATTCCGGATCTTCCTGAGTGTATGAACTACTGGGATGAGCTGCACTGTAGTTTACTTTTTTCCACGGAAAGTAAAGCTGCTGAAAGAGACCAACGCCATCAGGGAATACCGTTTCAATGAAAGGGTGTACATGGACTGCAACAAAGCTTAGGATGGTGGTACGTGTCAAAGTAACATCCACATGGACTCAAGGAGAACAGATCCAGCAGAACATTGTCCAAAGCATCACACTGCATCTGTCAACTAGCCTAGTGTTCTCCAGGTAAGCAAAGTGCACACACCTGGCCAGGTGACTTTACAAGATAACTTGATTCATCAAACCAGGCCACCAGTTCTGATGCTCACGCGCCCATAGAAGATGCACACTGACTGGTCTGCCCCATACACAACACACTATAATGCACTATGATGGGTTCTGACACCTCACTATCAACACCAGCATTGACTTTTTTTTATCTCAATTTCAGCTATAGTAGCTTGTCTGTTGGATCAGACCACAGGGGCCAGCCATCGCTCCTCACAAGGAATCAACGAGCCTTGGCCGTCCATGACCCCGACGCTGGTTACCCTTCTTTTCCTCATGGACCACTTTCGAAAGGTACTGAACACTACAGACCAGGAACACCCCAAAAGAGCTGCAGTTTTGGAGATTTTCTGAGCCAGTCGTCTAGCATCACGATCAGTCCCTCAAGTTGCTCAGACCCTAACGCTGGCTCATTTTCCCTGCATCCAACATGTTAACTTTGAGGACAACATGTTCACTTGCTGCCTAATATATCCCACCTACTGTCAGGTGCAATTATCAGTGTTCCTTTAGTTCAAGTACTGGGTAATCGGTGTAAATAATTGAACAATTATTGTAAAATCAAACAAAGTTATATTTGCATACATAATAACAAAAATCACCTGAAGGATTAGAAAAATTCAAGTGGTAAACTATGACTTCCTGTTTCATTAAGGTATACATATAAGGTGACACACAGACCAAACTCTATTGTCATCTATCACTACCAGGATTACCAGAGAAGTAGAGTATGTAGAATAGAGAAGGCAATGAATAAAGGAGACCATGAACATAATACCATATTCCGCTCTGAATCTGTCTTGCCATCGATATGCAGTTGAATATATTTCTCCTCGTTTGTTGGTCCATCTGGCATTAAAGATCTGTTCCCATTTTCATACACACTCCCTGCTTTACAACCCCCTTCTCACACATAGTACTCCTTCCAATCCACATCCACTCACACACACACACACACACACACACACAACATGGTAACATGGCAACATGCTCGAAACTTGCCTGAGTAGGCAAACTGTTCAGTTCACCCAGCACAGCCAGATGAGGACAGGCCACCGTTTGGAGCCTGGTTCCTCTTTAGGTTCCTTCTTAAATTCGACCCGCAAGGGAGTTTTTCCTATCCGCTGTGTATCAATTTGTTCAACTTGTCTATGTGTGCTCTGGCGGATTCATGCTGGGTGTTTGTAGAAGCACTTTGTGACAACTTTGTTGGAAAAAATACATTTGATTGATTGATTGACACTGTCCAATTTATCCAAAATAAAAAGAAGATTTAAAACATTAAAATAAGTTTCACTATTCACGTATTTAGGTGTGTAGGGCAGATTCAGAACCACGGACAGCACCAGAGTAACCATGAATCTACACCTCTCTATAAATCACATATCCTGGTAGGACATATTTGAAATACAAGCTAACAGTATTCTTCATTGCACAACCTATCTTCTATAACCAAACAGGATATTCATATTAACATGTCAATGGAAATCAACCACATCTTGTTTAATACTTTCCATTTTGTAAGAGCATGTAAAAAAGCGGAACACAATTCTTGGTGAAGCCAGACGTCAGATTTAGATATAATTAAAGGATCTATTCCATGCTTTCCCCGCTATATTACACACACATGCACATACACACCTGAACATACACACACATGCACACACACACATACAAATGCATATACACACCTGGAGCAGTTTCCGCAGTCCAGGACCCCTGAGTAGGACCTCTCTTTGTTTTCAAAGAAGTACTGGGTCTGTTCTGTGATACAGCTTTCCTTAAACATGTTAGCTGACATGTCTTCATCTGAGTCAGCTGGAAAGACAGTCTTAGTTATTTTCACCATACTTAATCAAAAACACTAGTGGACAACGAGCAAACTAAACACATCATCCAAAGAAAAAGTCTAAAGCCTGAATATATGTCCTCTATATCGACGAAGCCATTTATCGCAACAAACATCAACAAAAAAAACATAATTTTGGAAACAAATAATTACATCCGACCAGTTCATAAGGTTCATTGCCAAGCCTTTCAGATGTTTGCAATGAATTGAGCTGAATTCAGCTCATTCCGTGCATTTTCAGTTGAATTTGGAAAAACCACTTGAAGCATATGTTATGTTGAACTATTTGAAATGCTTTTGTTTAATTTGTTCATTACAAACTGCTGAA